TTTGGATGCGATTAATCATGATTAATCATTTGACAGCACTCATTTAAATGTTATACTTTTGATATATAGTTCTGTTGCTTACAAATATTCACTAAGATTAATTGCATCAGTTTACAACTGATGTATACAAGGGGCACAAATGTAATATTTGGTCTTATATGCAATAAAGTTGAAGACCTTAAATGTAAAATTCTTACATTTTACACAATTTATTAAGAAGGTTCATATATTAATAAGTTAACCTATGAAGGTGTACCTTAATTTACAGTGCAAACCAATAAGTATGAGTCAGTAACAAAGACATAAATGAAGCAATATTTTAAAAACTACACTACCATTCAAATTTGGTACCAACATTTATTTTTATCCTTTATATAAACGTTTTCTTTAAAAGAAAACTTTAATGGCACCAAACATTTAACCTGTGGTATAAAAAGGTAATTATTAAAATAATGACACAAAATAAAGTCATGGCATTTTAACGAGTTCAGTTAATACATTTACCTAAAATCATTTTAAACTAAACTAAAAAAGCCATAAAAGCAGTTCCCTTTCTTTTTTACAGTGGGGATTTACAGTCAGTCCATTAAAATATACTTCCGATTATTGTTTGGCATCATGTGAATGGAGGAATTTGCTGAGAGGTCAGGATTTGTTACTCACTGTTCCGAGAAGACACTGGGATTCCTGTATGGCTCCATAGCAACCAAGGAATCCAACGAACATCATCACAGCACCGACAGCAATCAAGATGTAGATACCTACAAGAAGAGCATGATGTGTGTTATCATAAAGGAGAATTCAAGACCCCTCAACAAAACTAGGACCAAAGAGTGAGCCATAAAGAGGTGCTAAATTACACTGAACAACCAAACTATAATCAACCAGTCATCCAGTAATGCTTTTTATATACCGAGGATGCAGTACTGGATCGTGACCAGCAGAAGTCACTGTGTGCTCACTGTGATGGGGCGCCAAGTTTACTTTAGGCAGAAGGAAAACTGCAGAACATTTGGAAGTCATGAGGGGCCAAAATTAACTTCTTGTTTCCATTCCCTCATTCACATAAAAAAGCCTCAAGTTAACAGCAAATCAGGATTCTTATGTAACATGACGTGCACTGGTAGAAGGAAAAAGAAAAGAAAAAGCTTCTTAGAGAAAGAAAGAAAGAAAGCTCCCTCTTGTCTCAGTGTTTACATTGCTTAGGCAGAGTGTTTGCATGGATGTTCAAATGGCAGCGAATAGAGACAGACAAAGAGAAACAGAAACAGAAAAGAAAACTCTCTCTCTTAAAGTCGGCATGAAATCAAAATTGACTTTATTTACTTTAC